TGTGGGAGACTGGAAGACTATTTCTAGTTGCTGCAGCAATGAAACGATACAACCTCGAGGTGCTTGGCATTAGTGAAACGCATCGGACACAGGTAGCACAACTGAGACTAGCTTCAGGGGAACTGCCACTATACTCTGGTCATGAAGAGGAAAATGCTTCATATACACAAGGAGTTGCACTGATGCTGTCCAAACATGCACAAAAGGCACTGATAGGATGGGAATCTCATGCACCGAGAATCATGAAAGCATCCTTCAAAACAAAGAAAGAGGACATTACAATGAACGACATCCAATGTTATGCACCTACCAATGACTACAATGACGACGATAAAGATCAATTCTACGAAAGGCTGCAGTCAATCTTCGAGAAATGTTCACCAAAGGATTTGACCATTCTGATAGGAGACCTGAATGCAAATGTTGGCATGGAGAACACCGGGTATGAAGACATCATGAGACGACTGGTAGAAAGGAGCGAACGCATGCACAAAGCTACATGGATTTCGCAGTAATACACCACACAGAACCAAATCGACCATACCTGTATGAAAAAAAGGTTCAGAAGGACCATGGAGGATGTGAGAACCAAGAGAGGAGTTGATATAGTTTCAGATCATCACTTGTTGGTTGCCAAGATGAAACTGAAACTCAAGAAGCACTGAAAAACAGGGTGGTCAATGTCGCAAAAGTCTAGTACGGCCATTCTTCTGGGTACTGGAAAGCTCACTGAATTCAAACTAGCCCTCACCAATAGGTTCCAGGCCTTGCAGGATCTACTCAAAGGAGAGGAAACAACCTTGGAGAACAATTGGAAAGGGATCGAAGAGGCAATCATTTCATCACGTCACGAGTTTCTGGGCCACAAGAAGTACCATCACAAGTAATTGATTTCTGTTGGTCTTGCTGAAAAAACTGAAGAAATGAGAAACAAGAAGGCAGCAATCAACATCAGCCGAACAAAAGCACAGAAAGTCAAGGCGCAAGCTGAATACACGGAAGCATACAAACAAGTGAAGAGGAGCATCAGAGCTAACAAACGAAAATATGTGGAAGATCTAACAATGACGTTGGAAAAGGCTGTAAGGGAAGTAAGCATGAGACAATTATATGACACAACAAAGAAGCTCGCTGGCAACTATCTTAAACAAGAATAACCATTGAGAAGCAAGAAAGGCAAAGTAATCAGCAACTCGAAGAACAGCGAAATATGTGGGTAGGGCACTTGAATGAACTCTTGACTAAACCAGCCCCACTGAACTCACCTAACATCGAGGCAGCATCCACGGACCTCCTAATCAATGTTGGCCCACTAACAATTTAAGAGTTCACTATGGCCATCAGCCAATGAAGAGCGGCAAAGCAGCAGGGCCAGACAACATACCAGCAGAGGCAATAAAAGCGGATGTGGCTGCAATTTCAAAAACACTCCACATTCTCTTCAACAACCTTTGGGATGAAGAATAAGTACCAAAAGACTGAAAATAAGGACACCTCATCAAGACACCAAAGAAAAGCGATCTCAGCAACTGTGAGAACTGTTGAGGCATCACACTCCTGTCGATTGCAGGGAAAGTCTTCAACAGGGTGTTGTTGAACAGAATGAATGATTCCGTAGATGCCCAACTTCGAAATCGATCGTGTGCCGACCGAATCCCTACACTACGGATCATTGTGGAACGATCGATTGAATGGAACCCAGCACTCTACATCAACTTCACTGACTACAAGAAAGCATGGAAACTTCTTCCACTTAGTGATGTGCCTGTGACGATATTTGATATCACACGGAATTCTTAAGATAGACTGAACTGCAAACTGAAGCACGGACGACAGCTGACAAATTTGTTCGCTGTGAAGACCGTTTTCAGGTATGGTTGCTTACTCTCACCCTTTCTCTTTCTCCTGGTGATCGACCGGATGATCAAGACATCAACATCTGGAGGGAATAATGGCATACAGCTGACAGCCAGGATGCAGCTGGACTATCTAAACTTCGAGGATAATCTGGCTCTTCCATCGCACACGCATCAAAAAATGCAAGAGAAGACGACCAGTGTATCACCAGTCTCTGCAGAAGTAGGTCTCTACATACACAAACACGATTGCCTGATACAACGCAACATGCTCCAACCAAATCACTCTTGATAGGGATGCCTTAGAGAGAGAACAAACCAATGGAGGAGGAAACAGATAGGAGGAAGTGGATAGAAGACACACTGAGGAAAACATCGAACTGCGTCACAAGACAAGCCCTCACTTGGAACACTCAAGGTCAAAAAAAGTGAAAAACCAAGGGACATATTACGTCGAGATACGGAGACAGACATGTGAAGAATGAACGAAAATTTAACAGAATTGGAAAGGAAAGCCCAGGACAGAGAAGGTTGGACTATTCTGGTCAGTGGCCTATGCTTGATTGAGGGTATCAGGAGTAAGTAAATAAGTTTATTTTTTAAACTTCATAATTTTAATGTTTTTTCTATCGAAATAAATTCTAGATTTTTGTCAACAAAATACATCAGGAGATTTTATAATATATTTGATCTATTTGCACCTATCAAAATTATAACTATTTGAAACGCCTCATTTTATATAAAGAAAATGAAGAAAACAAACTAATTTAATATCGTACTAACTATAGTTAGGTCACATCATCATTTTTTATTGGAGCATATCAATAGATAAAATAATCATCTTGTTGGTAAAGTTTCTGAACTTGATCTGATCGTCTGAATACGCCAATAGAGATTCAAAAACAAAAATTTGGTTAAATTAAACCACGAAACATATCAGTATAGGTAAATATTTGGTTTTTTTTTCAACCACATAAAAGTAGTTGGACTGACAGAATTCAGTCAATGAAACAGTAATTCTTACATCGATCAATATTGATGTTATTCATGGCAATTACTACTGCTCAATCACGTACTAAAAAGCAACTAAATCGAACCTGAAAATTTCAGTTTTTATTATATTTTGAAAGAAATGAACATTTGTTCTCTCTTGAAAATGGTTTACTCTGAGAATCGCCTTCAGAACTACTTAAAACTAAGGAGTACTGAAGAGATCTTTCATCCTAGTCTGCAACTCTTAAATAAATGTAGCTGCCATTCTTTAATAGAATGAATGCAATACTTAAATGCAAGATTTAGATATGCATATAGGATTTATCAAGACACTATTCGACAACCCAGTCTTGTAGAGCAATTAAAGTTAGGAAAATTGTTGATTTTCTTTTATCAGACTTGGCTGAGTATTTTCAAGTGAAGAGACGTATTTTTTTTTGACAAATATGACACAAATGTATATTTGCACATGATGCAAAATTACATTGTTCGTGATCATTTTTGTCAGAACTTTAAAAGAATATATTTGTGTGACCTTTACTGGGAATAATTAAACACTTTTAACCAACTTTTTTCGAGATGAAAGCTTGGAAGCTGAACTTCAGCAATCGTTCAGTGATTACATATTAAGTGAACAATCTGCTCACAGATGAAATGTTAATACAAAGTGGCTCATAAAGTATGTCAGCGTAACTTTTAACCGGTGCTTGACTAAGCGTAAAAGAAATGTCCATGGTGTAGTATTCTGTCTGTAAAAAATATTTCAACTTATGATCATGTAGGTATAGTACAATTTGTGAATTCAAAGTTTGTGTTCCTGTTATGAATATACCTGAATATTCACAATAGCAAGGTGTAAGGTAGTTGGAAAAAAAACCTAGATTAAGTGTGTGCTAGTTTACACTTTCCAATAGTAACTGTTCGTGATGTTAAAAAACTGATGTCATTTAGAATGAACCAGAACATCACAATTATTACTACTTTCTAGCATAACATAACGGTTCTTATTTTCCTGTAAACTAACTGCTGAATTAAGTTGTTCATTATTTTAACATACATTGTGGTCTTCACAGTATATATTGCCGATGATTGATAGCACAAGCGAACAATGGTTGTTATTATTTTGTATTCTATAGTTAATGTGGTTAATCATCATAAACAACGAAGTTTATAGCTCCATCAGATAAACTATTATTTGTTTATGATGATTTAAAATTTAAGATGTCTATAAATCAACATGCAGTATAAACACTAGTCTTAATGATTGGATATTTCATTTCAGGTCTGTTTAACGCTGTTTGATTAAAGATAGTCGGCAGATTCAATGTTAATTGACACTTTTTAGCAAGACTTATTTGGAATCTAGGCGAAATTATGGTTACACTGACTTTCAGTTGATAAGATTTGATCGAAAATCATAAGCAGATCACATGGCATTTGGTTCTTATTCAACCATCACTTTACGCAAACACTTTAATACCAAAGGAGATCAGTTGCTACATAATTAATTCAGGGACTATCAAACTGGATGACGAATGTTTGAATCTGATCACATCCTTTTAAAATTCAGATGACTATTGTTGGTAAGTAGTAACTAATTCTTGTTGATTGCCTTACATATATACACTTATTATGTACCAATAAAGTTCATCTCTAATACTTTATCTAATGAATTGATTTTTCCAGAAAAAATCAAACATAATTTTTTCTGATATCGTTCATGAATAAACTTTAAATTTACCTCCAGTATCATTGATAAGAATAGTTTGAAAATTAGTTGATAGTCATCTAAATTAATGAATTATGATTATACAAGACTGTACTTCTATAACTAAAGTTATATTGTTAAGAAGAACATAGTTATTTTGAATGAATATTCCATTTAAACAAAAGCACGTTGATTTAATCAGTCTTCACTGGATACAAATTGTTGAACAATGAACCCAGTATATATATATATATATATATATATATATATATATATATATTGTTCGAGGTGAAGACTGTTGCCAGGCAAGGTTGCTCACTCTCACCCTTTCTCTGTCTCCTGGTGAACGACTTGATTATGGAGACGTCGACATCTGGAGGGAAGCACGGTATACATACACAGTATATATTCACATATATATACATATATATATTATAACTTACGTCTCGGGATTTGAGTCCAGATGTAGGAACTGGTGGCCACCGATAACTGGACATGATCAATCAATAAATACCTTTAAATCACAGTAGGATATATTTTATGGATTCACTCAATCATTCATTCATTCATTCATCTTTTTGATAATAATCAATTTCTAAAACGAACATATTACACAGAACAATAAAAATAACATTTTACGACAGTTATTATACTTATTTGATCTATCTGTGTATATGTTCCTGATATTTGTGTGTGTATGTATGCGTATGTTATTGTACTGAAAAGAATTTTGTTCTTGATTGCAGAAATAAGATTAACATTTATTGATAATAAAATTTATTTACAAATTATTACAGTTAAATTTTATTGTTTTGATCATAGTTTATCATAAACAGTCATCATACAGTATATTTTTAATCATTTTTTGATGACTGTATAATAAAGTGGAAGATATTTTTCAATGGAATTATTTGTTGATATGAATTATTCACAATTGAATCGTTACATATAATCCACAAGTAAAGCATTTTGTTTTTCTTTGAATGGATTTAGCTAAATAACGTGTATTATGAATTTCAGTGAGAAAATCCATCAATTAGTGTTGAAAGTTAGCAGAAAGAAGAATGTTTTTTAAACAGGATAATTTTACCAATTAGTAAAAAACAAAATGCTTCTTTTTACCGGAGAATAATTGTTTTTCCTATGATGTGATATTTTCTGTTAGTGGCAAAAAGAATGAAAACCCGCTGAACACTATAGAAGAGAATATTGTTTGATCAGGTTATTGTAGTGAAAATGAAGTATTTTTACATAACTACTTAAAATTTAGTCTTAATTCAATACTGAACTAACTAACTAAAAACAAGCAGATATACATAGTGTGTATATTTGTGTGTGTGTGTGTGATTGTTTCCACTCATCAGCATCATATGATTTTCCTATTTTGTTATGTCTATTTATTTACTCTGCATTTACCTGAGAATGTATGCATCATTTCACATAAAGTCTACACTTTTATGCACAGTCAGTTGGTTGAACTACATATCGATCGGGATTGTGCATTTCCTCTGGAAAAGCAAATGGTCATAATCCTAATGACTGTTTACATATTCATATGTATGTGCGCATATGCTTACTTTATGTAGACAAATAACCGTACAAAGAAGCACACATCAGTGTACAATATGTATATATATATATATATATATATATATATATATATATATATATATATATATATATATGCGTATGTATATCCTAAAACTAATTCAAAATAGAAACATAGACATTTAAAAGGGGACGACAATCAGTTGTTTTCATTCTTGAAAATTCTCTTGCCTATCCTATGTATATTCAAATGTATAAAATATACATGAAGTAGCAGTGGTGCTGATGTTGTTGCTTAATAACCATTTTCTGTTATGTGCTTCATTAATTTTCCAGAAGGATTGATTATTGATTTGTGTGCTTTGGTTGGGCATAAAGTATAGTTATATGTACAGATATACATATATATATATATATATATATATATATTTTTAAATTCAAATGATTTCTCAATAAAATATCTAACATTTCTTTTTGTGAACAAATTTCAGTTGTCTGATGAAATAGACTGTATCTGATGTAGTCCGAAAAGAGGAAATTTATGTGAACAGTAACCAACAAAGGACAAAAAATTATTATTGATATTTATATAGTTGAATATGAATAATTCACATGATTTGTAGTGTGTATCATGTAAAATGTACATAGTCAATTAAATTATACTGGAAATAGTATCGATAATTTGAAACGATAAGTGTTTTTTAAGTGAAATATACACAGTAATAGACTGTGAAGTGAGTAATATTCCAGTGAAGTTTGTATGAACCAATCGTTATAATAAATGAAAATTTATCAGAAATCATTTACTGTGAGAATATTTCACTAGTGAATCTAATGCATTATGTTTAAGAATCATTGTTAAACAGTACAACAGATGAATAGATGAACATTTTAAGATGATGTCATGTTCAGAGTTTAAGGAAACGATTGCAAGTTTGAAAGGATTTGTTTTTTTTTGAGGGAGTGACTCAAATGAGGTCATTTTGATCATGATTCTTACGGTAAATATGATTGGTTAATGAAAGTTTACGAATGACTGATAAAATTGAATTTGTATATTTAAATAAATTTTTTTAGATGACAAAGAATAATAGTTTTTCGTAAACTTTTATTTGGTCATTAAGAAAGACGATAATAACAGTTTACTTTAAATTCTTTTATAATGCATTTTTAGTAGACTGATTTCAACAGTAACGTGAATTTACTGTATGTGAATAGTGACCATAAATTCGGTTTGTTTAAAAATCAATGATAAATTATCATCACTAGCTGGTGGGACATAACTGACCGGTGGCTTTTATTAAGTTTGTCACTGAGTTTGCTTGAGGCTATTACGAGTTTACCTTAGTCGATAAACGCGAACGAGACTTTTACTAGCGTCCAGATAGGCTACCTTGAATCACAAGCTGAAGGTAAAAGGCTTTGTAAGCGTAGAAAGTATATTCTACAAACACCCAGCAATCACAGTACAATCAAGCATACAACTCTCGTTTATTTATAGATCATAGAAACATCCTTGGGACAGTTACGAAAATAGCACACTAAAATACACAGCAGCCAATCACAGCCATGGATTTTCCTGGTGGGAATTGAAATCTCAAGGTCTACTGATCAGCCCATGCTGGCAAACGTGAAAACCAAAATAAGGCATTTATCAAGCGAGTTTTGGGGATCTAACATCCCCAACAGCTTTGAAGTTAGTTCTCAATATATTTAGTACTCAATAACGAAATGTATCTATCGTTTTGAAGGAAACTGATATATTCAGTTAGATAAAAAAACCTACTCCAAAATCTGAGACTTAGCGATAGACGTGTTCAGAAACTATTATGAACTACACAGATAAGCTGTTAGTTGATAGTTAGTAAACAACCAACCTATCCATCACGAAGAAGCATTATTGAAGAGATTCTTTATGTTTATTAGGTAACTTTCAACACCAACGAGTTCACATGCGAACGAATTGAACACATTCATAATCGTTGATAATTCAAATAGTTTAGTGAGACCAATTATGTCAGTTCAGTCAAGTTTCTATTAAACAAAACTATTTACCAATCAAATAAGTGAGTAGCAGTCCATCGATAATTTAAAGTATTATACTACACGTTATAAAAGTATTTGTTTAATCCAAGTTCTTTCTGATTAATAATCATGAAATTGATAATATCGTGTCGTGTTTTAACTACTAATTAGATTAGGTAAATGTTTATTTGTCTTACATTGTAGATCATTTCATGATTTTGTTTATGAATAAAAATATTCATTGACTGGTTTGTTCCTTTGTAAATTACACTCAATTTTACTGGACCTGATAATATGAAAATATGCTTAACTTTTAAAACTAATTCAGTTGTATGAAATATTCTTTAGACTTTTAATTGATTTTTACAATTTTTTGACCACTGTATTTTAAGATAATGCATTCATAATAAAATAAAGAATAATTCAGACAACTGATACATAAATCTCTTATAACTTGAATTTCTAAAGTAAACAAGTAAGCAAATGATTCAACATTCATTAAGTTTTAATGTTAACATATTAATGTGCTGTACTTTTGTTCCATGCATTTATCATTATCGTAAGTGTACTGTATTCACTTATCATAATGGATATTTTATGCCGTCTAGTTAACCTTAATCTATATGCTTTTATGACTATCTTTGCGATTTTGGAAAGACATTTGTAATTTAAGGCTAAACTATGAACCATTTTTACATTTTAAAAGATTCAAAAGTTCGATTATGTAATTAAAAAAAATTTTTTTTTCAATTAGATCTTAAGCGTTCTGTCACATATAAAAGTATTTCATTATTTCACTATTGAAAATGTTAAACTAATCAAGTCAGTTTGTTAGTACCGGACAAACGACTATAGAGAGCTAACATAAATGCCTCTTTTATAACATCTGGCAGAGAGTGATTGTGTGCCAGATGATACTTACTCAATCAGAGACTTGTATTATACATGTCGATTCACATAAAGCAGTTTGATCGCATTTCTGAAGAGATGAAAATTCAAGCTACCAACCTTATTCAAGAATTACTTTTTATACTGTCAGCATTTTATTGACAGGAGAGAATCTAATAAACAATCTTACAAAGTCTTTCTACTAATTGTTTGATTTTCTTCCTAGATTTCTTGTCGTGTTTTACTACCTAGATACTTAATTGTTTTTATTTAAACACTATTATTATTATTATTATTATGTGATTTGTAGTTATTCACATTTATAAAGTTTGAAAATACTCACAGAATTTTAAACGTCAGGACTATCGGACGGATTATTTCTAGTGAGTTCTTCAAATGCTACAATTATTAATCCATATATTCCCTATACTTCCACATCAGTCCAAGTTTTAAGACTGTTGCTTATTTATTTGACCTACCTTCTATGAGGAAGTATTTGTTCGAGATGTCATGGTCTTTAGTAAATATTCTTATCATTAATATTATTCTGCCGATCATTTGCTGCCATTATGTTTTACTACTTATTTATTATTATTAGTTGTGTCATTGCCATCAGTGAATCAGAGGTGACGTCGTTTAGTATACTGTTTACATAAGTGTATAAATTAAAGTGTGAATAAGATCTGATCGATAACAATATTGCTCAAACTTAAATCGTGTTAAGTGTATTTGTTAAAGTTCTCACTATCACTGCAGGCAATAGCAGAAGGGCGCGACCAACTTCTTTGAGAACACTTCTAGATTCTCCTTACTTCTGTCAAATTATTCTTATTTCGCATGATTTTAAACATTAAAAAACCTCGTTTATACTAGATTATAGATATTGAAAATAATATTCTTCCTTCACATAAATTGTCTTCAGATTCTACAAATACATATTCAAAATTGATTATCTAAGAACTTTCTGGATTTTTGATAAATATATGGTTTAAAATTAAATTATGTACCTGTAAAATCAAATAAAATTTGTTCATGT